CTGTGATTCTGTGATTCTGTGTGATTCCTTAAAATCGTGAACATAAAACTCATCCTATCTGGGCATGTGCGCTATGGCCACCTGGTGGTCTTTGGGGGTCGTGGGGATGAAGGCTCATAGTCTTCAGGATGAAGGGTCATTGTCTTCATTGCTGTAATATTTTCACCTTTCACCCAGAAGCGGATGTATTTTGTCACTTATTCTACTAATAGGGCATTATCAGCACTACTTCTCTAAACATCTTTGGCTGCACAAACACAGGATAACTCTATATCATCCCTAGACATTCCTAGATAGGGTTAGGAGAACAGATGAAGGAGTTTCTGTTCAATTGGGGGATACCATTTATCTTCAAAGAAAGTGCTCTGGCCTTCTGCTTATCTATGGGATTGCTGAGTCTGCAACTGAGTTTCACAAAGGTCCTACAAGCAGCAATTTTAACCCCTTCTCACACTTCATACCAGTGTGTGTGTCCCCAGATCGTCAGAGCATGAATTTTGATGTTCTGTTTAGAAGGTAATAACATATCTGAGGTTATCCCTAGGGGATCTTATCTTCCTGGATGTGCGTCAAGGAGATATTAGTTAGCCTCTTAGATAGCTGAGAACATTTGACCCTGTTTAACCATCACCTGCAAGCTCCTTTGCTACCAACACTGCTAATAAAATCTATTTTAGTTATCCTTTCTCAGGGAGCAGTAAAAATCTGAGCCAACTGAGATGATGTTACTTTATGTTTGGCTATGTAAACTTTATAAAGATATTGCAGAAAATAACAATGGACCCAGTTTTCAGTAGTTAATTTTTTAAAAATGAAAGAAAAAGTTAGGAATTTTTTTTAATAAAAGTTTAAAGGAGTAGGCCAGTGTAGTCAACAGCAGGAAAAAATCAAGGTAGTAAATACTGAGGATATTTGGAGTTTAAATATAAAAACTCTGGAATTTGTAGTACAAGAGGTGGTGGGTGGGAAATGTTGATGTAGCACAGGAGTTCTCAAGGAATAAAAATAAACCCTGATAGAATTGGAAAATGGCCTTGATTGGCAAAGAAGCATTTTTCTTGGAGGCAGAAAGTGTCAGAGTATGTTAGCCATTGCTAAAGAAACCTGAAGGTTACATAAAGGAAATTAAAAACAGTATCTTACATAAGCAAAGGAAGGTCAGGGGCAGAAGTGGAGGTGCTGTGTGCTTAGCTTGTGTAGGTGGAACTATGAAACCATAAACAACAGCTTCACTTTAGCTTACAACAAAAAAGAGGAAGGAAATTTAATTCTAGTTAAGGAAAAAGAAAAAAAGTGATCCAGACAATGTAATTGCATTACTTTGGCATCAGCAGTCTGCCAGGCTTTGGAGTGGAGCAGGGAGGGGGAGTAAATGAAGAACATAAACTGTTTACCAGAGTGCTGCTGGATACTGGGATTTGTCACGAAAAGGGGCTGGAGAGTTTATTGAGCTAACTTTAGTTGTTCTGAACTTTAATGAAGCAATTGGTGTACTGCTTCTTGGGAAATACCTGCTCAGTGCGGAAAGGTGGACACCGGTAAAAAATACAAGGAAGGTTGGGCTAAAGGTTTGAGTGAGGTAGGAGAGGCTGCCAGTTTGTATACTTCTAGAAGAATCAGTCAGTGTTACGGTTGAATCAAGTTCTAGACTCTATTGACTTTAACAGTGTATTTCAAATGCAGTGGCTCAGCAATCCATCCCTTCTGTGCCATTAAAATGTGCCTGTGACACTACAATGGCAATCACTGGCCCCTGCCTTATAACACTATTCAGCAGTGAATCATAGAATCACAGAATGGTTTGGGTTAGAAGGGACCTTAAAGAACCAATTCCCCTGCCATGGACAGGAACACTTCCCACTAGACCAGGCTGCTCAAAGCCCAGTCCAACCTGGCCTTGAGCACTTCCAGGGAGGGATCATCCACAACTTCTCTGGGTAACCTGTTCCAGTGTCTCACCACCGTCATAGTGAAGAACTTCCTAATGTCTAATCTAAATCTACCCTCCTTCAGTTTAAAACCATTACTCCTTGTCCTATCACTACAGTCCCTGATAAAAGAGTCCTTCTCCATCTTTCCTGTAGGTTCCCTTCAGGTACTGGAAGGCTGCAATAAGGTCTCCCCAGAGACTTCTCCAGACTGAACAGCCCCAACTCTCTCAGCCTGTTTTCATAGGAGAGGTGCTCCAGCCCTCTGATCATCTTCATGGCCCTCCTCTGAACTTGCTCCAACAGGTCCCTGCTCTTCTTATGTTGAGGGCCCCAGAACTGGATGCAGTACTCCGGGTGAGGTCTCACCAGAGCACAGTAGAGGGGCAGAATCACCTCACTTGACCTGCTGGCCACACTTCTTTTGATGCAGCCCAGGATACGGTTGGCTTTCTGCACTGCAAGCACACATTGCCAGCTCATGTTGAGCTTCTCATCAGCCAGGAGCCCCAAGTCTCTCTCCTCAGAGCTGCTCTCAGTCCACTCTCTGCCCAACCTGTATTTGTGCTTTAGATTTCTCTGACCCATGTGCAGGACCTTGGTGTTGTTGAACCATATGCGCTTTGCACGGGCCGACCTCTCAAGCCCGTCAAGATCCCTCTGGATGGCATCCTTACCCTCCAGAGTATCAACCGCACCACACAGCTTGGTGTCACTGGCAGACTTGCTGAGGGTGCACTCAGTATCAAAGACACTGAGATACCGAAGCATTTCACAAAGTTCTATGATAGTCATTACTATTACTATACATAGTGGGAAATTGAATCATAGGAGTAGCAGGTGAGAGGCAGGGTTGGAAATAAAGCACAACAGCTAGACTCAGTAGGCTACTTGATCTCAAATGTGGTATCGTGGTGTAAAGGATTGTAATACATTCCTAGCGACCAAGTGGATATGAAAACTTGGTGAGCAGTGTTATGTGACTCTTTTCCAGAAAAAAATGAATGCATAGCTCAGCAGTTTTTGTAGGTGTAGTAATTTCTAAAGGGTACGTATTTCAAAGTTATTCTATTTGGTATTTATGAAGGCTTTAATAAAAAATTATGTAACATTTCCTGAACTGGCAATGTAATATTTTATGGAGTTCATCTTCCTGCCCTCCCCTCCCCTACACCTCAACATGATCCATTTGTACTTCTTCAGACAGATTTGGAGAAACAGAAGAAGTGATTTTCTAGCTGGCATTCTTTGCTTAGCATTTGCATATCAAAATTTTTGTTACCATTGCTATCTGAAAGAGAATACAAAAATAATCTCAGGAGTGCTTTTGCTTAAAAAAAACATAGGATTTGTACCATTGTTAAGATGGCTTGTAGTAATTAAAATTTGGCTGTGTTTCATAATATAGTGAAATTGTGATGTCAGGCTCTGGTCCAGTGTGACAGCAGCTCAGGATGTGGGTATTAAAATAGGTTCTTGCGTGCCTCCGTGTGCGCGCGCGCACACACACACACACACACACAGTTGTAAGACAGAAGTTTGTAATCTTCATTTAGGTTGTGCATTTGTTAGGAAGTGAAGACAAATTACTTGGAAAAAGCGGTTTTACAGCTTTAAAATTAAGCAGTTTATCTTTTCTCTCCCATAACAAAAAAACCCCAACACATTTTGGTGTGCTTGCATTGACATTGAAGTGTTATGGTGAGCAAAACCATTGTGGGAAGGCTGCACTGCAGCATGCAGTGCTGATAGGTAGTTGTATTAGCTGCACTGATTGCGGGATCTTGCAATAACTTTATTTGTTCCAGAGGATCCTCAAGCACAAATGATGCGGGTAGCATTATATAAAGGCAAGATAATGAAAAAAACCATAGAAACACTAGAAGTCTGCCTTTGCAGTTCCTACGTTTGCAGAATTAGGATCTCGGTTAGACAAGAATTCTGAATCAAAGCTAAATTGACAGAAAGGTGGGTCAAGAAAGAATTATTACACTGAAGGAAAAATGAAAACCGTCTGGAAGAACTGGGTCTTACTGAAAGTCTTGTAAGCAGCCGTGAAGCTGTAATTTGCAGAAAATATTAGTAATGTATCACATGGAAGCTGTGAGGTCAGTACTGAAACAGATGGTGAAATCTCAGGGGCAAAGGATGGAGCAGGGAAAACAGCTTTGTAGTTATCGATGGAAGTGAACTCAAATTACGGGTGGAGATTATGCGTCAGTATTTAGAAAAATAATGAAACTCGTATCCTGAAATGCAGATATTTTTGGTGTCAGGTACCAGGGTGGTATAAAGACAGGTGGTGAGGAAGAGTGCCATATCTAGGAGAACTCTCAGGTGAAACACAGGTGTAGTTGTCCTTGCAAAAAGCACTTGAATTTTTAAATATATTGATGTATAAGCACCTGCATTTCATTCCCTCTGTGTTATTAGTCCAGTGAAGTAATTTAAGGTTGATTTAGAGGAAGGTTGATCATGTCTCACCTACATTATGTGGAGTTTCTTTATCAAGTCTGCTGCCCACAGCCTAGCAACTAATGATTCTACTTAATTTGTGTTTTACTGCAAGCTGAGCACAATAAGCACTGCCATAGAATTAAGTGAAGATTTTAATAAGAGTAATAAATTGACAGATGATTTTTTTCTTTCCTGTTTCAAGTGCTTCCTGTGAACATCCTTGGAAGAGTAAAAGGATTTGAAAGTAACATTCTAGAGACGTTTGTGTAGTTTCTGTTACACAGAGAAATGCTGAAATTTCAAGAAACCACTAAGCATGTCACTGTTGCCAGATTTAATTCTGCCCGCTCAGATGCTATGCTTGCAAGAAGATACATTATTCAGAGGAAACTTGGCAATGGAAGCTTTGGAAGTGTGTCTCTGGTTTCTGACAGAAAAGCAAAACAAGGAGAAGAATTGTAAGTAAACCCTTCACATACTTTAAATAAAAATATTTGGAACATATGTCTTGTATTGTAGATGTTTTCTAAATAAAAATGTTTGGAACATATGTCTTGTCTTGTAGATGTTTTCTTTGTATTTGTGTCTCATCTCTCAGTTTGATGTTACATTGCAGCCTTAACTGTTTTACTTATTGAGGACATGAGATAGAAGCAGACTTTATGCTGACTCAGCATTCCAACTGAATCTGGTTTTGTTTAAAATAGTTTATCTGATATGTCTAAGTCGTTTTTAATTTATTTGTGCAAAACAGAGTAGAGGTAGACAGAATCTCTCAGACCCTCATCTCCATAAAATGTGAATATTTTTGGTTTTATCCAATAAAATTTGTGAGGCTTTTTGTTTAAAGTCTGAAACATCTAATCAATGTGTTTTTCATCCAGAAATACATTTTTTCTTTAAATTTGGAGGTCTGTTGCTCCTTATTCATGGACACATTAATGGACAATTATATGATAAAAAAGCTTTTTCTGATCAATTTGTGCCTTACTTTTGCTATTTATGACAATGCATTCTTGGCAATACTGCTTTAATAAATGTGCAGCCCTCTGATCATAATTCTTTCACTTCTTTTCCTTCTACATCAATTTACAGCTTCTGAGCTCCTTGGATTGGGGTTAGAGGTCACTAAGCTTTTATTTTTTTTTCCAGTTGGCTTATGAGAATTTTGGATCTCTCTTAGCCTTAGCTTCAGTTTGCTACAAAATTGTTCTGTAATGAAAACTTTCACTGAAATCAGTAGAAAATATTTTTCAGTTTCTTTTTCTGTTAAAATAATTTATCATGCAAATAGGGTGACAGGAACTACCTGAGCTTACAGACTCTTCAGAATTCAGCTGTTGCTGAACTTGTTCTTAGAATATTAACAGTATAGTGAAGTGTGTGTCTTTACATATTTGCTGCTATAGCACAAGATGCAAAAACTCAAAACCAAGGAATGTGTGCTTTGCTTTTAAGTAGTTATTGTCTCTATATTATATTTTTTCTTGAGAATTTTTCTTTGAGAGCTTTAATTCTGAGTGACTGTGTTTTGAACAAACATTCACAGCCTGCAGAATTTAATGTTTTTGTTTTTTTTAGGGATGAGACTCAGTGTACTCTCTGTCGTGCTTAAGACAGAAGTATCAAATGGCATTTTTTTCCGCTGTTTTATCAGTCTCTTTTTGTGGCTACAACAGCATTTAACAAACCGAAGTGCTAGTGTAATATTGTAGTTCCTCCTTTCATCACTAGAGGGTACTTGTGTATCACAGGTAATCATTCCTTCTGCTCCTCAAATGTAGACCGAATAGCAGATTTCCTCAACTTTCTATCACTTTGCTAATAGATGGCAAAAATACTGGCCCAGGTGAACATGGAAGCCTAGGTAGCATAATGAGATAGAGTGTAGACACTTTCTTCTATTTAAAAATACTCGTTTCTTAAGGTTGTGAAATATACTAGAAGTCACATCCTCAACACTACTTTCAAATCAGAAAATATTTTATGGAACTGTACTGGTTACTGGTTCTGTTATATTTTCCATTGGGAAGTATATATATATACTTTCAATGAAAAAAAATAGCTTGTTATTGTTCTTGCCTTTAAAAAAAAATAATACAGCTCTGAAAGCAGTTTGGCAGAAAATGGGAATTGAGATATTTAGGTCCCAAATGACGTCAGCAGAATTAGAAGTCTATTTTTATTGTTCAGAGATCATCTGGAACATGTTGAGACAAATGTATATAATACAGTGTGAACTCGGCCACAGATAGTTTCCTGAAAATTGCTATAGTCTAAAGCACTGTGAAAGAGCATAGGAATAAATCATAAGGATACAAATTCCCAAGAAGAGTCACGACTTGGATATTGATACAGAAGCTGTTTGGGGATATCTTTTTCAATTTTCCATTAGTGCAATGTCTACAGAATGAATTAATGCAGAAACTAATGATGGTTATCACGTAATTTCATGTATGCTCAGTAAAGGTTTTGCATGATTTCAGAAATAGCTTTTGGGCATGCCTTGTGCTTCGTTATCCCTCAAGGATCTTAGCTTTGGTGAGCAAAGTGTTATGCACAGACTTCCTTCAGCTGGTAAGGATAGAGGGTTGATTATTTGGGGCATGCCTCAAGCTAACAGACTTACTTCTTTTAAACTCTCCACCTAGAGGTGCTCATGCCAGCAATGCCTCCCTCTCTGTAGAAGAGATCAGCTTCATGCTGATCTCCAGTTCTATGTATGGATGAGATCAGATTTACTGACTTTCTGAGATCGTACTAGACCAGAGACATCCAGTGTGATATAGTTGAGTTGCCCACTGTATAAATAAAATTGTTATGAAATGCTACAAGTATAGTAGCATATGTAGATCTCTTACCATAAGTTACTGTTACAATACGACACATTTCTTGCCCGTTGCTTTGACTTCCTAATTTGTATTTTTGGTAAACTGTATTTTCTGGTAACCTTTTATGTTCATGTCCTATGTGATTTATATAATTTTGCCTTCTTTTTTATTAGGTGACTCTGAAAACCACTTTCATTTTAATTTTGCCTTCCACCCTATCTCAACTGAAAAATTATGTACTCCTGTAAACAGCTGTCAGTTACAGATATAGCCAAACACCTGAGTGTCAAAGCCAGGAAAATACCTAGTCATACAACACATCTTCTTGTGCTGATGAAATCCATTTTCCTTTAGAAAATAATAGTTGCAAGTCATCATATATTCTTAAATATGCTTTCATTGGTTCTGCTCACATTTATGTTTACTGAGCAATAGCTTCTCTGCTTGTACTGCTTGTGTTTTATGTTTTTTCAAGGTGTATTATCCACAGTGGAGAGGGAGAAAACTGAACCAGTGATTAGTATTCTGGAGTGTGATGGTGCCACCATGGGGTTCTTTGAGACTGGCTGTTAAACTTAAGGATCAGCTTTGTTGTAGACATGTGATTAATAACATTTCTAAGTTTCATTATTTCCCAGAAAGAAAACAGCAAGTTTTTGATTTTAGGTTTGTAGCTAGGGAAGGTGAGTTTTGTCTTCCATGTTCGTGTAGATAGTTATGCCATCCAGTGTACATCTTCTACAAAAGCTGTTGATCCTGTTGGATGATTCTCACCAAATATGACAGAGGGTTAAACATCTCAAAGACAGAAGTTCCTTCACCTTATGTGAAAACAGGCATCAGAGTAGAGAACAAAATGAATGCGCTCATAAGGAGAAAGGCCAGAACCTGGGAGACTCTTCACTATGAAAGATGTGTCTCATGCACTAGACAACCCACATAGGCGAGATCAATTTCCCTCAGTTTTAGAAGAAACTATTGTCAGAATTTATATCATTTTAGGCTCTAAATTCAGTTAAACACAAAAGGCATGTTTGTACAAAAGCAAGCTTCTTAGTTCCAGTTTCCACAGGATGGGTTGGTTTGTGTATTATTTGATATTTTCACTGTTGGATATTTGCAAATCTTCTTGTTCCGAGCCAGTTACTGTACATTCACTAAAACTGAGATTGAATTGCTTAATGTTGACTCTGTCTTTCCATTCTAGTGGTCTCTAAAATGAGCTTTGGTAAACCTTTATTTCAAATTGCACACTGATTTAGTTAACATAGAACTGGAGTCCAAATAAGGATTGAATGTCCCTGCAAATATTTGCAGTGTTTTTTAATCTTTTCCGGGATTTGAACTGAAGTTAGGCATGATAGATAGGGATGCACATCACTAGTTGCCCATTAGTAGAGTTTAAGAAATTTTTAGAGGCTCTGGATTTGGCTCTTTTATGAAGAAAAATTGGTAGCTTTAATTTGAGTAAAAAATACTTACGTATTTCAGTTAATTTTCCTCTCTTTCTTTTGTAAAGTTGCACCAGTAATGTAGTTGAACCTAAGTGTCATTTTTTCTTTACATTTGTATAATTTAATGCTACTAGCAAAGGACAAAGAGTGCTACTCAGTCCCTTTTCTAGACCCCCTTGTGCCCACTATGGAATGCTGTCTGTTAAGAATGGCTCTTTGCATGCGTTTAGCACTGTTTCCATTCTGGGTCCTGAAAGCACCTGTCAGAGCTGTGAAGTATTTTTGTCAAGTTTGCAAATGGATAATAAATAGGGAGGTTAAACCATTTGTTTGTGTTCATGTAGCGAAGCTGTGGAAAATGACTGAACCACAACTTGAGAAATCATTCCTTGATATCTTAATCTTGCTAAATATTAGCAGAACGTTTAGTTACACTGTAGATGCTCAATCCTCATCCAAAGCCTAGTATCATGGGGATCAGTTCTACAGTTTGGAAACAAGCGGTTCTGTGCATAGCAGGAAGGAAACCTGGATTCCTGTAGACTTGCATCTGCTGTTCCCTTAACCTACCACAAAAAGCCCTACTTTTTCACCACACATGTTATGACCACATTCCTTTTTCTGGAATGTCCCTAATTTTCTTGTACTTCCTCTAATTGTTGCTCCAGCTTCTCCTTTCCCTCTCATCCCTCCAATATTTGTATTTTCCTTCTGTATTCTCTAATTAGGAAAGGAGACAGGTCAAGCCATGGTGGTCCCTGAACATATGGAGGGGATATGAGATGATTGGTATATGTACATGGGCCATTTGGCAGCTCAAGCAATGTATAACTTTTGGGACCAGGGGTCACTAAGACTCTTGCACTTCCTACTTAGATCATTAAATAAGATCATCTTAAGATCCTTGAAATTGCTGCTGTTCTGACAGATTTTGTTGAAAGTAGAAATTAATTCCCTAAGTTGAGTAGTGATTGCTAGGCAGACAATTTTTAACTTGGTAGACAAGGCTACTAAGCTTAGGACAATTGGCAAAATTTGGTTATGATGGTGGGACAATTATGCTATGAATTCTTCTGCAACTTTCCAGTGTACCTGGTATTTACTATCTACCTTCAGTTCTTTGCTTACATTTATTATGTAAATGCTTTAAAGCTTATTAGATCTTATTTGACA